GGTCTTGGAGGGGGAAGACCCCCGTGCGGGAACCGGTGGGGGCCGGCCCGAGGGGCCGCCTTCTCCCCTGCCGCCTGGGCTCGGGTTGGGGTTCGGGCTCCGCAAAAGGGAGGGAGGGAAACCCGACGGCAGAGCAGAGGCCGCTCGCGGGAAGGGCAGTGGATCTCCAGTAGCTGAGGTCCCTCCGCTCCGGGAGCAGCGCAGCTGAGGTTGGGGGAGCTGGGGTAGGGGTGAGCGAAAGAGTCCTAAGCAGGTGCCCAGGCCAGTCAAGGGGATCTGAGTGTCCCTGAGGACTGACCATTGCCACCCTCCCCCGGACCCTTTAGGGGGTCCATGCTCATCAAACATTAACTTACGCGTCTGTGAAAGGAATGGACCGCAAGTGGGTGGGCAGAGCTCTCTAAGACAACAGTCCTCTGTGGGGCTGGGGCAATACTGAGGCGCAAATCCCTGCCAGGGGCAAATGACAGGAGCCATCTCAGAGCCTGGATGCTCCTGAGTGGTGGGGAGGGGTGGGAGGCAGAGTACCCGGCCTAGAGCCCCGCCCAGGCCCTAGGTCTTCTTACCCCTGACCCGGGTCCAGAGCCTGGATGGACTAATGCCGGTGCCAAGTGGGAGAGGGACCGAGGTTGGGCTCTGGAATTCTGTCGTGGAGAACAGCCTGTGGGAGCAGCAGGCAAGGCCTGGAGATGAGGCCGGGGGGCTGTCTGGCCACAGGCTGGCAGGAGAGTGGGGTCCAAGGAGGGGAGGACCAAGTGGTCAGGGTGTATGGAGACCTGACCATGGGACCCAGATGTCTGGACTTCATCTGTGGACATTAGGAAGCCACTGTGCCGTTTGAGGAGTGTTGTGGCCAGTGCGGCCGGCAGGGTGGGTGGAAGGGGGTGGAGAGGTGAGAGGCAGGGGAAGGTGAGTGGGAGGTGGGAATGGCCAGGGCTGGGGCCTGACCCTCCTGTCCTGCACTGGCGGGGTGCCGCGTGGTGACAATCTCCTGGAATCTCCCCATTGCTATTTGAAGCTCCGAGACTGGCCTGCATGGGCCCCTCCTCCCAGGGGTGTCTGTGATCGCTCCTGGTGAGAGGCTCGCCCTGCCTCAACTTCCTCTGCTCCTCCGCTCCGCTCCCAGAGGGCACATTCCCATCAGAGAGCGTCCCTGGGCCGGCCCGGGAGCTGAGAGCCTGGGGCGTGCTGTCCACAGGAGAGAACATGAGAGCTGCATGTGTAATTTAAAAATTTCCAGAAAGTCGCCTTAGAAAAAGTAAGAAACAGGCGAGCTTGATTTGAATAGTCTATTTTATTTAACTCAATGCATCTAAAATGTTACTAATGTAATGCAACATAAAATGCTTAGGGAGATGTTTTACTTTCTTTTTTCTTACTACGTCTTCAGTCTCCAGTGTGCATTTCGCATTTGTGGCACCTCCGTGGGGACAAGCCGCATTTCTAGTGCCCAAGTCCCAGGGGAGGTGGCTGCTGTACTGGTCAGCACGTCTCTGAGCTCAGAGCTGGAAGGCGGGGGGGTGTGGAGGGGCGCAGAGCTGGGGGCTTCCCAGAGGGCGGGCAGCCTGCGGGGACTGGCAGTGTGGGCGCAGGTGAGCATGACCGGGTCCTTTGCAGGTGTAACCTGCAATCCCTGATGGGTGGTGGCTGAGTGTGGTGTGGCATGGCACGCTTAGGTACCCTTCCCCGACTCACCGTGTCTCTAGGCTGACATCCTGCCAGTGTCCTAGGAAACCATACACGGGGGAGGTCTCAAGGGCACCGAAATGAGCCCCAAATCCTCTTCTCGGAGATGCAAGCAGGCCCACCCTGGTCACCCTTTGGTGTTCCCCTGTTCAGAAGTTCTGCTGGGGAAGAGATGAAGAGGGAGAGGGCTGCAAAGCTATGGCTGGTGGCCAGCTGGAAGGGAGAGCTATGTCAGTGGGCACCGCTCACTGGCGTGGCTCTTGGTCCCAACCCAAAGCAATGACATTCATGTAGCAGGTGCACACGGCAGGCTCTGGGGTCGGTTTAAAAGGTCACACACAGCAGTGGTGGCCTGGGAAGCAGCTCGTGTGTCAGACACCGACCCACGCCCTGCACAGGTCGGTGTGTCCCACTCGCTGTGCAAGAGCTGGTGCTGACTGCGGCCGTCGGGGAGGGGAGGGATGTCCATGCAGGAGGAGGGGGCTCTGTGCCAGGCCGGCCTCGCAGAGCAAGGCCCCTGGGGATGTTAGATTCAGTTTATAATGGAGAATGTAGCAGGGGATGGAGAGTGGGGGTGGGGTGGAGGGGAGGGGAGTGTCACAGAGCTATCTTTCTTACCCCGCTGAGGGCTGTCACCTATAGGATAAGGATGCTGATCACAGTGGGTGGCCCTCACACTGCTGTAAGTAGATCCTGTGATTGTTGTAGGCAATAGAACCTAGCTCAGAGAGGGTGAGCAACTTCCCCAAGATCACCCAGCTAGTAAGCGGCAGAAGTGGGACTTGAACTCGGGTCTGTTCGACTCAAATCCATGCACTTGGACACCAAACCTTCCTTGGGCAGAACCCAGCTGGACAGGTTCCCAAAGGTCTGGCTTTCTAGCCAAGCGTGCTGTTCAACAGGTGAACGGGGTTAACGAGCACGCACCCGGCTCGCGCCCTTCCCAGCCCCTGCCCTTCGGCGCTGCCCTGGGGAGACTCAGCTAACCTCTCCCTCTTTCTCTTTGTCTGTCTGTGTCTGTCTGTCTGCCTCTCTCTGCCTCTCTGTGGGGGGGTTTCCCCTCTTCTCTTCTATCCTCTGGATGTGTGTCCCTTTGGTTCTGCCGTCACCTCCTGTCTGTCTGTCCATCTTGTTGTTCTGTGCCTCCTCTCCCTCCCTGTGCCTCTCCTCATCTCTCTGCAGGACACGCCCGTGGATATGGGTGGGGCCCTGGGGCCAGCCCTGCTGCTCACCTCACTCCTCGGTGCCTGGGCAGGGCTGGGCGCGGGGCCGGGCGAGCAGGCTGTGACGGTGGCCGTAGTGTTTGGCAGCTCGGGGCCGCCCCAGGCCCAGGCCCAGACCCGGACCCGCCTCACCCCCCAGAGCTTCCTGGACCTGCCCTTGGAGATCCAGCCACTCACCGTGGGGGTCAACAACACCAACCCCAGCAGCCTCCTCACCCAGATCTGCGCGCTCCTGGGTGCGGCTCGCGTCCATGGCATCGTCTTTGAGGACAACGTGGGTACCGAGGCCGTGGCCCAGATCCTCGACTTCATCTCCTCCCAGACTCACGTGCCCATCCTCAGCATCAGTGGGGGCTCCGCTGTGGTCCTCACCCCCAAGGTGCCCGTTCAAACTCATTCCCCTCGTCCCTTGGGCCTGGAGCCAGGCTGGGGCTGGGGGAGCAGGGCTGAGTCTGAGCCAGGGGGAGACTCAGGCCTTGGGAAGTTGGAAGAGGGTGGGATGGACAGGGAGGTGGAGACCCAGGGAGGAGAGGGAGGGAGGAGAAGGCTGTGGGAATGATGTTCTAGAACAGTAGTTCTCAACCTTGGCTGCACATTAGAATCACCTGGGAATCTTTTTAAAATCCTGATTTCTGGGCTTCATCCTCCAGAAATTCTGTTTCTTTGTTATGGGGTGAGGCCACAACATTAGTAACAAAGAAACAGAATTTCCGGAGGATGAAGCCCAGAAATCAGGACTTTAAAGGGATTCCCAGGTGATTCTAATGTGCAGCCAAGGTTGAGAGCCACTGCTTTTGCCCATTTTTTCCACTTTACTCTCCTCTCCA